CCCCAAAACCCCAAAACCCCATTAGTTTAATAAATGATTTTAAGTAGATTGTAATAAAATTAATTAACTTTTCTTTGTACATTTTTATTCTATTAATTCAAAATTGAGTTTGGCTTTACTCAAGACAATCCATTAAATCTTAAGAGCTCAATAATCTATGGGTTTCTGTCCCAGCTCCCTCTCCCATCACTTCATCAGCTAAATCCTCATATATAACAGTGCTGTTTTAAATCTAATGATTTACAGTAGTCTAACTAAATCTCTACTCCTCTTTAAAATATTATCTCGCCTCCTGCATATTTCTCATATTAATAAATCTTTGTCCATTGTTATTAAAGTACTCATAGTTTTACTGATGCTTATTCTATTAACTCTAGAATTATACCTCAGACTAATCAAGTTCTCTATTATTAATCAAATTCTAGCTCTCTGCAAAATCTAACTCTTCCTCCATATCATCTAACTAAGAGCATGTATCGTTTGAATAGTTGAGTCTGCTTGGGTCAATTAGGAAATCTTTGAGATCTAATTGCTTATCATTTTGGTCATATTAAAGATTATTAACTATTGAAGGGTCTAAATAATTAGCTCCGTTCAGGTTTTGTTGCGAGCTATTATTGTAGACTTAATCATTTCCAGTGACGCATGTCATCATAAGCTGCTTATCGCCAATGTAGTCATCCACTCTTGTTAATTCTTAAGAGTAATGCAGCAAAGTCATCTTTGTTATTAGTCTATTCTCTTCTTGCTAAAAATCTTTCTAAGTTAGTATTTAATCTTTACAGACAGTTTTATTTGGATTTTGGAATAGCAAACTCTAATCTATTGATTATTCCTATTCTAGCATCATCCTATTGTTTAAAAGATTGTTTTACTAGACAGCTTACTCTATACCCTCTTAATTACCAATTTTATCAATGAATTTCTCTACTTTAAGAATCTTAATAGGCTTTGAAGGATCAAATAGGTCGCTCTTGCATTCTATGACTATTTATTACCTTTACCCAGGAGACATCAGCAATATCTATTCAAGCTATGTCAGCTCTGAAGAAAGTCTTTGAATTTTATCTCTGAAATGATTCAATCTGGCATCAATTCCGTGATTCAGCATTTGATAATGATACTTCAACGCCTATACTTAGCTTTACATTTCAGAAGTATTTAATTAAAATAAATAAATATAAGATAATTAAGAAATTTAAATTACTTAATTCAAAATTCAGCAATTCAACAGATATGAGGGGTTTTGGGGTTTTGGGG